AGAGGAAGAGACATGAATGTCAACAGTTTAATTTGAAGGAGAAATCCGACTACAAAGTCAACCAACTCCTGCACAACACCGTGCCAACCAAAACAGTTAAAAAACAAAAAGTAAAAATCCTTTTACTGACAAACTTCAGAATGAAATGTTTGCCAAGTTAAAAGCTCTGGAGGTGTCTGACACTTGCAGAGAGTAGCGGCTACTGGGTGTAAATATAAAGTGTTTCTGGTTCCTGGACAGTGTTTCCTTGCTGAGCTGCAGTGCAGACACACCAACAACTGATCTGACTAATCCAGACTCATTTAAGCCTTTTATACTTCTACACAAAATGAGGACTGTGGATTTTTTCACTCACACTGGAAGCTCATTATGAAGGCATCCTTCTGAGTATTAACAGGAGGAAAACTTCAAGCAAGCATCATCAGTTTCAGTGTGTGCACCTGAAACTGGGTACCTGCCCTTTAAGTTTTCATTCTGAACTTCAGGTGTGGCTGAACAGGCTGTAGCAGACACACAAGAGAAATCCACCAGTGAACTCACTAACCCCACACAGGTGTGGATTACCTGAGCGAGCCGTCTGAGCAGCAGCTCTGCAGAGGGACGGGACCAGTCCAGGAAGATCTCAGGTACCAGAGTGACCGTCATCTCCAGCACCCGCAGCAGGCTGACTGACAGGTCGAAGCAGGTCGCGCACACCTGGGAACCAACAAAGCAACTGAGTCTGCAGGGAGCAGGTCTACAGGCCTAGAACATGGTTTTAGGTCAGAAACCAAACAGAGTGGCTAAGTCTGTGTTGGAAAAATGTTTATCTAGGGACAGTAACATCAAGAGACCCACAGTACCATACATTGTGTACCTGCAAAGAAGACACAGTAAATCTAGAATAGATACCATATGTATTTGGCTGATTGTGTGCTTACACCAGCTCAGTTTTCATAAGACTACAGAGATACAGACATATCTGTTCCAGAAGCCAGTGATGACAACAGACTTGCCACGATTGCTAAAGTCTGACTGTATAAATGTCTTGCAGGGCGACTGCCCCCCTGAGCATTTCCTTCATGCAACCATATTGTGTGTATTGAATGCTCCCTTGCTGCAAGAATAATTAAATCCTTATAATACTCACATAAGTGGCCTCAATCTGCTTTGTCTATTTTTTGACGCAGGTCACACGGTTTTACATAATCAAATACACACACAACAATGACAAACAGTAAAAGGTCAAGTCACTGGTGACCTCAGTAAACAAGTCATTTAACTGATTTAATAGTGAAACTATTGTGTCCAGCAGGCCAGAGGTTCTGCTCAGCATCAGTTCATGGACCGTGGAACATGAATACTTCCATGTATTTTGCTTCCTTGGAAACAACTACAGCTATTTTCTCTCAGCTATTTATCATCAGTCACGTTTCTGGTGTCGAATAGATTGAAAAATAGATTCATATCACATGAATCCCCAAACCGGGTCACACGAATATACCAAGTGCCAGTTGACCGTTCTGGTTTTAAATGTTCTATTCATTTGAAAACAGTGACTACTGTTTTAACCCATGATCATCTCTAACTGTTACTCTGTTTAAAAATGTAGCATGGCATTTACCTTGGTGAATGGTACATAATGCCTATTTTAGGACTGGCACCTATTCAGAGAGACTGGTTTATGACTCGGTCGACCTCTAGCTGAAGCACAGCACTGGAAACACCTCCGTTCATGGGAGCTGCAGTGTGTGCGATTACCTTCAGCTGACGAGTGTCCACAAAGTTTCTCTCTGGTCGCTCGGCAGCCTGCTGGATCTGAGAAAACAAACAAAGAAAAAATGACTTAAAATTAATCTGTGACCACAGAATTTTAAAAACCTAATTTGAAGTGAGGAAGTCAGGATGAAGATGTCTTTAACCATCTGAAATCACCAGTGGATCCACTCTTACAAACTCACAATTCTCAGTGGAGGATTCCACAAACCCTCAAGACTTGACTTTGGATTGCAGTGGAGATTCAGTCATGTCGAGCTGAGATCTGGAGGATCTACAGTGTAGCGTGTATGTAGTGGTGTTTTCTCACCTCCTGAATCATGCCGATGAACTCAGAGAAAGCCCAGTTGAGCTGGTTCAGGACACTGTTGAGGAAAGAGGCGGCCATGTCTTTGTCCATACTCAGCAGCTCTGCCATGTGCTTCTGTAGCAGCAGCGATGGACAAGGCTCTAAACCAGTAAGATGAAGAAACACAAGTCAATGAACAGCAGGAGGGGAACACAGAGGAGTGAAATGTCCATTGTTTCTCAGTGGAGCTGCAGGAGTGTGATAGAGGAGAGGATGAGGATGAGCAGAGGTTTCCAACCATGTGCCACACACAGCCAACAGTCTGCACTCCAGTGCAGCAGCAAGGAGAAGAAGGTGAGGGTTTAAGGACAAAGCCTACAGCAACAGAGCAAGCAGGTTGAAAGTGGATTTACTGAGGTGAGAAACCATCATGTCAGGTTGTAAAATACTCTTCAATCTTGAGATAAAAGCAGGAAAGTGGGTGAAAAGAAACTCAGAGGAAAAATGAGGAAAGAAGAAAGAAAAAGAATTGAGACAGAAAAGGAGAGGGATTAAATGGAGCAGACAGAAAGACAGAGGAGGAAGAGGAACAGAAGAGGGGAAGCTCTCCGGAGCTGCTCTGTCCTCGGGGAGACGTGATGGGAACACTGGAGCCAAGTGTTCATTAAGATTGATAATCTCTAGCCCCATCGTCCTTTGTCCTGGATCCCAAAGAAGGAAAAACCCATGTGCTCCAAAGCAGGAAGGAGCCTGTTTTTTGCTGTTAATCCTAAAGATGCAAACAGAGGTCACAGTGCTCCCAGCAGGAGAAAACTGCAGTGCGGTGCCTCCTCTGCCTTGTTCTGTGTAGGCCAAACAACTAGCCAGTCAGTGCAAAAGTTTGAAAACGGATTCATCTTTTAAGTCACTTATCAAGCAAACACTTCCTCTAATGTCTCCGATTTCCTGTTTTTGTCTGTTTTCTATCACAGTAAACCTAATCACTTTAAGTTAAGGGACAAAGTCTTCCACCCTCGGCTGTGGGAACTGACTATCACTATTTTACGACGTTTTAGAGACTAATAAATGATCAGTTCATTAAAGAACAACTGACAGATTACTGTATAAGTTAAACAATCATTAGTTAAAGCCCTTTGTGTTAGTCCAGAAAAAGAAAGGATGTATGTAGGTGTGAACCGGTTTTCCACAACACATATGAACTCAGCAGCTGATTGAAAACAAAAGGCAGAATGTTTAAGGATTGGGACACACAAAACACACAAAACACAAACAGTCACAGTGTTTGCTGATAAGGGGAATCACAGAGTTGTATCCAGGGCTCTGAGTTTCTCCTGAGAGCTGGTTCTGGAAACACACTTCATACATGAACTGACTGCACAGAGCGAGGAGCTGCAGGTGAAACTGTGCACTGAATGTCACTGAGAAACAACTGTTATTAAAAAAGCAAACTAAACCAGCACAGTGACAGCTGGCCAAAAGAAAACAGATGGAGAAGAACTTACTTTGGAAACTAGCAATGGACAGATCCCCTGAAAGGCATGCAAATGAGAAGGCACACAGAAATCAGAGTCAATTATCATGCAGAGAGACGAGAGCAGAAAATCAGTTAAGTGGAAAAAGAAACAGATATGCAGAAAAAAGGCTTCGAGACAAAGAGGACAATGACACAGCAACACAGGCTTAAAGAAAATGGAATGATTAAAGGAGCACGCCTCTGTCAGCCAGCTTCACCACAGTCAGTGAGAAGATGAACATAATGGGGGTCCAGACACGGTGAGTTCAGGGGCGTTTAGCTTAGCTTAGCACAAAGACTGGGCGCAGGACAAAAGACAAATGTCTTTCAGTTGAATAATTTTCTCATTTAAGTGGATGGAAAAAGAAACAGATATGCAGAAAAAAGGCTTCGAGACAAAGAGGACAATGACACAGCAACACAGGCTTAAAGAAAATGGAATGATTAAAGGAGCACGCCTCTGTCAGCCAGCTTCACCACAGTCAGTGAGAAGATGAACATAATGGGGGTCCAGACACGGTGAGTTCAGGGGCGTTTAGCTTAGCTTAGCACAAAGACTGGGAGCAGGACAAAAGACAAATTTTCTCATTTAAGTGGACTTAAACACATCCTAGAGCCAGTGTGAATCACAGGACAGTGTGTGAGTGAAACACCAGGCTGCTCACCTTGATGGTAAAACAGTGTTCAATAGCACCTTTATCCTCAGCACTTAACAATGTGCATCACGCTCACACACCGATGGTGGTGAGAGGCCGTGCAATGTGCTGGTCTGACCTCAGGAAGCAGTCTGGGATTCAGTGTCTGGCTCGAGGACACTTGGACATGGCAGACAGGAGGAGATGAGACAACAAGCCACCCTGTACTGGGCTCAATCTGTGCCCTGACCCTGGGTTCCCCATATCACACGACAGAAAACGGTGCTTTAAAGCACCTGGCACAAACAAATATACATATTCAGGGGTTAGTTCTGTGTGTGCCTGGCTTGTACAGAGGCAGAACGCCACCGCAGTTCATTACAAAAACATTTGATCATCTGACCATTCATAATCCTGCATAGGATGAGTCCATCAGTGGCCGCGTGAATGTGCACCGCCACACATAAGATACGATCTGACTTTGGGGATAGGGACATTTTGCATGGACAGTCCAAGATTAAACAGGCTCGAGCGTAAACATTGACACTGTTCAGCATGATCACTGAACTTCCTGATGTGAAGCATGTGCTTGAGGTTCTTGAACACGTCTCACCTGAGAAGCTTGTTCAGTTCTGACTGACCGGTGGGGAGTCCCAGGTGTTTAAGTTCTCCTCGAGAGCCACTGAAGTCACATGTGGGTCATTAGGGTCACATGAGTCAGGGTAGTAAACTGGCTGGGGAGGGATGTCAGGACCGCACTGCAGTGGCCGATGAGTGGTGTCGAAGACCACCTCCTTTGTTTACTGAAGGTCTGTTTACACAGATGACCTCTTTCACTTCTCTTTCAAACCAGCTTGTCCTTCAGAAGCAGTTGGGCTGCTGGGGAGCTGTGCTCTCATAGAGGAGAGCCAGCTGCTCAAGGCTCCTCTTCATGTGGGCTGGGTGTTTGTGTGTCCATAAAACAATCAAGAACACGACGAACTGTAGACACCCAGACAACTTGACATGAGATACTGTCATTTTCCTTCATTCTAAAATTATTATGGTTAGAAAAGAGAAAACACCAGAGACTGGCTGAAGATAACATCTCTGCATTCTGTCTGCTCACTATGCAGAAGCAGGACAACTTCTATGATTCACTGTTTGACAACATGTCATTTCAAGCACTACAATGTGAGCTGACACACACTGAACTTCCACACAGACCAATGATTAAAGCCATATATCAAACAGATGTAGTAAAAATAAAGCTGCTACAGACAGGCAGTCACAGCCTCAATTTATTTATGGAAATTCATAAGGAAACGGGGTCTGACCTGAACCTGGAACACTTACAAACTCTGAAGGAAGGAGAACGTTTTTTTTTTCTGAGGCTAAAACTGAAAGGAGGGAATGTGCAGAAAGAAAAACCATGAGGCTGAAAAAGCAGAAGACAGAGTCAGAAACAGACAAGCAGCGAGAGAAAGAGAGAAGGCAGGAAGCAAGGAAGACTGATTCACTCATTTCAGCTTCCTTCTCCTCTCAGGCTGTTGAGCATCCCGAAATGGTGCAGCAACACAAAAGGCACAAGTGTGGAGATGCCCTGGACTGCTCACTACCACACTGACATACGGTTTGGGCTCCCTACTGCACATGGACACCGTGACACAGAAACCAGAAACACACAGTGTGAGAGGAAAACAGACAGGGAGAGCACCTACTCTGTAGACTTGGCAGGTTGGCATCCTCAGGTTTGGTTTTGAGGAGGTGAGGCAGGCGAGTGTATCTGTAGCCAAACCCACAACCCTGAAACACAACAACGCACAGCTTAGACATCTGCTCAACACTCGATGATAATGCAGGCAGTGACTGTGTGTGTGTGATTCCCCACCAACCCCGTCCAGAGACCAGCAGCCCCAGTGAATGTGGTGTCCTCACTGTCATGTGTGTGAGTCCAGACCCTGGTCCAGCTCATTGCTCTGTGCCATAGACCTTCACTGTTTTTCACCAGCTATTAAACCAGTGAGTCACACTGCTGTACTGGGGGGCAGGTTTCCTCCTCAGGAAACAGGGGAGGCCGTATGTTTCCAACACATAGCATTTCTCATGCCTTCAAAGGCCTGTTTGATGGTTCAGACTTGGCTTCAAGGCTCTTGTAAGAACCACGTTTAGGTTAAGTCGGGTCGATACCGTAAGGATTCAATTTTGGCCCCAACTGATTATGGAATGGGGCAGAGTTTGACGTTCAGTGCGAGGCTCGATGCCTTATAAATCACTCAAACGACCAATGGGCTGTCTCCTGGCCAATCAGACAGCACGAGCAGGTCCACAGTTACTCCCGAAGTCAGTTTAATGTCCTAGTGTGAGTACAAAGCTAGCAACCTAATGACACAACACAGATCAGGCATCAGACTGAGAGGGCGGAATCAATGTAGACGAGGCTTATCCAGCTCTGGTAGCACCACCCTGTATGATGCATCATCAGAACGGTGTCATGACCAACAGCAATGTTGGCAGGAGCCCATCGCTGCTCTTCAGCTGTACACAGTGGAGGGGATGTAGAGCGCGAGCAGAGACATCGTACATGATCAGAAAAAAAAAAACTGCACAGTGTGCGCCCAGTGTTAGATTAGCATGAGGACCTAGGGATGTGATATGTCACTGAGGGTCCTCACAGAGACAGCTGCACCAGCGTGTGTGCTCACCCTCCACAGTCGGACCAGGATCCAGTTGGTCTGAGCCCAGGGTCTCTGTTCATACGGAGCCAGCAGGTTCCTCATCATGGCCACTCGTCTGAAATGAGATCAGCAGAGGTCACAGCTGGAGTTCAGGAGGGCAGAGGTGGGAAACATCCTGATTCTATTTACTGAAGGTGAAGGACCAGTGCGGCCACTGAAAAACACTACATTACAATAAGAACTCCTGCGTTTAAAGTCCCACTGAAGTCAAAGTATCAGCTGCAGAAAGTTCCCCAGCAAGGCTTAAGAGTCCACATCTATGAAATGTGAAGTTGTGTGGTGCAACTGTGTGAAGGAGGTGACTGAAGAGAGTCAGACCAAAGCAGACGCACAACCAGCTCAGGAGTGTTTCACAGCTGAAACCAGGACAGGAGCAGGGGCAGCCTTCTGTCCAGAGCCAGGTGATTACTTTAACTCATGTCAACAAGGTTTTACTAAGAAAGAACAACGAAATAAAGAAACTAGGAAGGACACTAACTGATCAGCCTGATCGATCACATACATATATGAATGGAAAAATAAAACCACATCAGTCTGATTCTTAGGGAGGAGCATCTCTGGTCTCAACTAGCTGAGTGTTTGTGTTTGTTTTGTACATCTCACTCCAGCTCTTTCTCCTTTCCTATTCAAGCCATGTGGCTCCTCATGGCCTCATAGCAAAACTAGTCCCAGATGTGATAACTTTATGACTAATGAACGTTTTCTCCTCATGTAGGATTTAAACCGGGGCTGTGGCAAACATAGCTTGGTGATGCTGCACCAGTGAACTGAACCTGCTGAGCTCTCCTTCACTCCGAGAACACACCTGAAGGCTCGGTCTCATGTTCAGTCCATGGTCCCTTCGCTCCTCCAGGGACCGGAGATCACTCCAGTCCATCTCAGTTCCTCTACGACATGTTTGGATCAGCGAGGACAAGTCTTTTATTGGACTGATCTGAGCTGACTGTGTAATGGGCCACTGCCTCAATACATCAGGAGCTGAGCACACAGTGTGCAGCTGAGTACTGCAGCCATGCCTAACCTTTAGAAGGGTGGTTTATGGTCAATGGTCTTGGCTCAAACCAAACTGAGCCACATTTCTAAAATCTTATTTAAAAGATCAACCTGAAAAAAATCAGGACAGTCAAGTCAAATCTTCCTACACAGACTGATGAGCAAGAGCACTCAGAGATGAGGGACACTCACTGTTCCTCTGGGATCCTCTCCACGGCCCTGAGGGATTGTGGGTAACAGACATAACTGGCCAGGGCCTGCATCAGCGAGTCTTTGATATCTGAGAGGAAGAGAATGGAGAAGTTTGTTCATGTGGTAACAGCATGTTAGTCATGGTGTGAAGCCCATCCTCACACACACCCACAACCACTCAACACTTACTTTGGTTTTTTTAAGTACAAGACTAAAACTCAAACCGTCACATGCAGGGCTAACACCAGGTAGGACCATAACAATAACAATGTTTATCTGCAGAGAGACCGGCCTGATCCCCTCAGGCAGACTGTTAATACACGTTTAAAAATGACAGAGCACCAGCAGGGTGTGCACTGATTGAAAACAGAGACCGGATACAGTCTGAGGGGCGCTGATGTGAGCGTAAACAGATGGAGAGCTCATTCAGACCGGTGACAAAGGAAGAGAAACGAATCCTGACACAGACACACAGGAGGCTGCTTACCGAGGGCATGCCACCGTTTTCAGCTGCTCAGCAGTCAAATTGCGTTCATCCTGATTCACTGAAGGAGCACGGCCAGGTTTGTGCAGATAAGTGGGAGAAAAGCAGCCTGTTTGGGCTGATGTCAGGTGGATTTTAAAGGGTTTGAAATATGTGAGGAGGGCATGAAAATTCACGCCATTGTCTGCAGCCCCTGATTTATTGCTGCTGACTGACCAGTGCAGCACAAACTGCCAATTAAGTTCTGACAAAAGCACTTTATTCCCCTCTGTGGCTGCCTGCTTATTCTTCCTGACTGTTAATGTTTGGCAGCAGCTCCGGCTCAGTGTCACAGGAACGAAGCAGCTGCTACGTACTCAGTTGGCTGGTTTACAGAAATGAAATGGTCAGAGGAGTTCAAAACCTTTGACCCCCCCAGACTGAATTTCACATCTCATTCACTGGTCTGTTTGTTCAGATGACAGCAGCATGACATTTAACTTTCCTCAAGAGTGTTGGACAAAAGCAGAAGGATTAAAAGTATTGTCTCTTTGACCAGTACGTAAAGCTGAGCAGCAGAAAAGTGTACGCGATGTTAGCATCTTAAAGACAGCAGTGAGACTCACAGTGTGTATGTGCAGCGTGTGTTACCTGTCCCAACAATGCGAAGGTCTGCAAAGTGCTTGGCCAGGATGGCAGCTAGGTGAGTCAAGGTTTCTTCGTAGCCTGAGGGAATGAAGAGAAGATGTTGACACATACCTATGAAGCTCTGCTGATGCCAGTGGGCACACGTTACAGTCGACCTGGATTCTGTTCCAGCTGAAACAGCAAATTGTATGTGACACGCAAGCAGTGAAGACGTGTGTGAGCGAGTACATTTACAATGCTACAGCTAGTGCTGTAACAAACCCATGTCCATAAATCAACCAACCTGATGCAGACACTTTCTAGTCACTGACAGTGCAACAGGAACAAGGTTCATAGTAAATCAACTGTGTCACTTGTCTTGGATTTGGGGGATAATCTGTCTTGGGTTTGGAACTACATTTCCCACAATGTTTTGAGGGATGGAAACAGGACGTATGTGAGCCCATTTGCCTTCACATTAGCAGAATGAGCAGCTCCTGTGTGCAGCGTCCCCATGGATGTCAGAGCATGTGAGCGGAGCGGTGAGAATTTCTGCTCCTAGCTCATGGAGCTGTTCGCCTGCTGCACTCAGAGCCGCACCAGGCCGCTCTGCTCAAATCACACCCACTTGGCTCCAAAAAGGGAAAAAAATCTGCACGCGTTTATGGTCAATGGTCTTGGCTCAAACCAAACTGAGCCACATTTCTAAAATCTTATTTAAAAGATCAACCTGAAAAAAATCAGGACAGTCAAGTCAAATCTTCCTACACAGACTGATGAGCGAGAGCACTCAGAGATGAGGGACACTCACTGTTCCTCTGGGATCCTCTCCACGGCCCTGAGGGATTGTGGGTAACAGACATAACTGGCCAGGGCCTGCATCAGCGAGTCTTTGATATCTGAGAGGAAGAGAATGGAGAAGTTTGTTCATGTGGTAACAGCATGTTAGTCATGGTGTGAAGCCCATCCTCACACACACCCACAACCACTCAACACTTACTTTGGTTTTTTTAAGTACAAGACTAAAACTCAAACCGTCACATGCAGGGCTAACACCAGGTAGGACCATAACAATAACAATGTTTATCTGCAGAGAGACCGGCCTGATCCCCTCAGGCAGACTGTTAATACACGTTTAAAAATGACAGAGCACCAGCAGGGTGTGCACTGATTGAAAACAGAGACCGGATACAGTCTGAGGGGCGCTGATGTGAGCGTAAACAGATGGAGAGCTCATTCAGACCGGTGACAAAGGAAGAGAAACGAATCCTGACACAGACACACAGGAGGCTGCTTACCGAGGGCATGCCACCGTTTTCAGCTGCTCAGCAGTCAAATTGCGTTCATCCTGATTCACTGAAGGAGCACGGCCAGGTTTGTGCAGATAAGTGGGAGAAAAGCAGCCTGTTTGGGCTGATGTCAGGTGGATTTTAAAGGGTTTGAAATATGTGAGGAGGGCATGAAAATTCACGCCATTGTCTGCAGCCCCTGATTTATTGCTGCTGACTGACCAGTGCAGCACAAACTGCCAATTAAGTTCTGACAAAAGCACTTTATTCCCCTCTGTGGCTGCCTGCTTATTCTTCCTGACTGTTAATGTTTGGCAGCAGCTCCGGCTCAGTGTCACAGGAACGAAGCAGCTGCTACGTACTCAGTTGGCTGGTTTACAGAAATGAAATGGTCAGAGGAGTTCAAAACCTTTGACCCCCCCAGACTGAATTTCACATCTCATTCACTGGTCTGTTTGTTCAGATGACAGCAGCATGACATTTAACTTTCCTCAAGAGTGTTGGACAAAAGCAGAAGGATTAAAAGTATTTTCTCTTTGACCAGTACGTAAAGCTGAGCAGCAGAAAAGTGTACGCGATGTTAGCATCTTAAAGACAGCAGTGAGACTCACAGTGTGTATGTGCAGCGTGTGTTACCTGTCCCAACAATGCGAAGGTCTGCAAAGTGCTTGGCCAGGATGGCAGCTAGGTGAGTCAAGGTTTCTTCGTAGCCTGAGGGAATGAAGAGAAGATGTTGACACATACCTATGAAGCTCTGCTGATGCCAGTGGGCACACGTTACAGTCGACCTGGATTCTGTTCCAGCTGAAACAGCAAATTGTATGTGACACGCAAGCAGTGAAGACGTGTGTGAGCGAGTACATTTACAATGCTACAGCTAGTGCTGTAACAAACCCATGTCCATAAATCAACCAACCTGATGCAGACACTTTCTAGTCACTGACAGTGCAACAGGAACAAGGTTCATAGTAAATCAACTGTGTCACTTGTCTTGGATTTGGGGGATAATCTGTCTTGGGTTTGGAACTACATTTCCCACAATGTTTTGAGGGATGGAAACAGGACGTATGTGAGCCCATTTGCCTTCACATTAGCAGAATGAGCAGCTCCTGTGTGCAGCGTCCCCATGGATGTCAGAGCATGTGAGCGGAGCGGTGAGAATTTCTGCTCCTAGCTCATGGAGCTGTTCGCCTGCTGCACTCAGAGCCGCACCAGGCCGCTCTGCTCAAATCACACCCACTTGGCTCCAAAAAGGGAAAAAAATCTGCACGCATTTCACTTTTAGCTTAAACCGTAGTCTTACATCCCAAAGAGCTAAAGAACGACTACTTTTTTCCAAGCAGAACTGATTTTAAATTGCAGTTAGGCCTTTGTAACAAGGATTATAACACAAAACGTTGTGTAAAATTCAACTAATCAATGGGCCTAATTAAATAACAATATACAGTACCCTGTGTGACCTCTCAGTTTCCTTTTTAACTCCATTATTGAGCTTGCAGCGGCAGATTTTTTGGCTGAATAATGTCAGATGAATGTGCAAAGCACAGGTGCATTGTGGGTTGGACTTGGGCATGTTTCAGGCTCGCGGTGTGAGTACAGGCGATGGATGCACAATTGATCACTGAAGGAAAGTTAAAGGCAGGAGGATTCTCAGGCTCTGCACCTTTAAAAGAGTTAAAAACCAGATGTAAGAAACAAGCGTTGAGTGAAGTGCTGTGGTCTGAAAACCTCCTCAATGTCAACCCATTTCAAAGCAGCCATACATTTCTAAAAACATGATCTCTTCCTACACCTGCTAACAGGTTTTAATTAATATGAAATGGATACACAATGAATTTATTAGCTGTGAGAAGTGAATTTAAAGGAAACGCTGAGTTTGCAGCTGATTAGATATTAGTCATCAGCTGCTATGGCGTCTTTACCTACAGTACATGTTATCCTCTATTTCCTGGTTCAGATGATGGCTGTACAAGTAAGCCTGAAGCATTTAATATATGATTGATGGGTCATTAGTCTCATTAATGCCAACAGCAGTGTGGCAGGACTAATACAGGAGAAACAGTTGGTGGAATTAATCACCAGTTTCTTCCAAGGAAACATTTGTGTGCACAGTGAGATTCAGCAGAACTGGACACTAAACCAGTGGAGCTGGAAACTGTTGAGTTCAGTTTGAGAGTTCAGGGTTAAGCCACCTCTCTGTTGCACACAGTGCACTGAGACAGTAACTCTGGTCCTGTTGAAGCTGTTTATGGCTGTTACCTTTGAAATGCCTTTGCCTGGTGTTTGTGTGCTGCCATGAACCTACGCCATGTGGCTCTGTTTTGACTCATTTTATTGCTGGACTTTCATAGACAATATCAGCCTAAACCAAGTTTCCCCTAAAGAGCAGGACCAGAACCGTGACACAGGGACAGAATCTTAATATCAAAGCCTGATTCTGATGAAACCTGTTTCCAGGCGGCTCCTACTGGAAGGGGGCTTCACCTGGCAGCTCCTCCATGCTGTTTGCAGGGCTGAAGTAGTTCTTGAGGGCGCTGTATGCATTCATGGCTACGTAGAGGTAGAACTCCGGAGCAAAGGCGAACAAGGAGCCGGTGTTGTCAGCATGTTCGATGGTCCTAATACAAACACACAGCAGCCAGTACACATCCAGCATCTTCTCCTGGACAGAGGGACAGACGGACAAAAATTAGAACTGGGCAGAACGAACGACCGTGGCACACAAACACCAAGGAGCTGGAGCACCTTGGAGTAGATGGTGGCGTTGATCCAGGCCAGTCTCCTGCTCAGGTGGTTCAGCTTCTCTGCAAAAACCTTCTGGCTTTTCTGGAGCTCTTCCAGGATGTCTGGTCTCTGAGGGACAGAAAACACAGCGTGAGGACTCTGTTTCACTGGGGTCCGACTGCATCAGATCACCAGGAAAATGTGGGGAAGCTGATCTGAATGTCTGTGTGTATCATCACAGCTTTAAGGATGCATGTAAGGAGCCCTTTAAACTTTAGCTTGTTAGAATGAAGTCTTCTGGTTTTTCTTATTTCACGTCCTTCAAGTGTGTTGTTTGTGTCCATTTACTCTGTACAGCTACAGTTATGTTTGCTGGTGACACTGATGCTGCACATGAAGCCAGTGAGACAAGTGGCCACGCACAACACAGCCAATTATCTTCAGCCCACAAAGAAAACTCAGTATCTACTGTACATGATCGTCAAACTGCAGCGCTGTAAAAGGTTTCGTTACTGTGATATAGACTGGACACGAGGACTATACTAACTCCCAACTCAGTGAAATCTGAATGCAAGTCTGTGACAGGGAGGGAAGATTTACTATTGTAAAAGGAAAGTTAGAGAATGAAATAGTGACACTGGTTAACAAATAGCAAACTAGACACAACAAACAGCAAGAGAAATACCAAACATGCTGCTAAAACGATCAGAATCAGTTTTATTGGTCAGGTGTGTTGGACACACGAGGAATTTGACTGGTACATCGGCTCTCGATGTGCATGTACATGTCCCCATGCAAGGTGCAAGTAAACAGTAAACCAACATAAGGCTGTGTAAGATAACAATATAAGAGTATTAACAAGCAACAAACAGTGCAAACAGTATAAACAGGCAGCAAATTTATAAATGTTTCAAACAATATTTAATGAATTTGGTATAGTTGACATTCGGAAGGAACTTCATCCCTCTAAACGGATTAGACACACTACTCAGCTTCTAACCATAGCTATGCCAAAAGTGACTACTTGTGTGAAACTGAAGAGGCGGATATATCAGAAGTTATCTAAAAATTCAGTTAAAACCACAGAAAAGAAATTAAGCAATTAAATGAAGGAATTTTAAATCATAAATCAATCGTCAAAGAGATAAACAGGGATCACAACTTATCGAACTGAAAATGACAGTGGAGAGATTAACCCCGATATTTTGTGGGATGCACTTAAAGCAGTCATGAGAGGAAAGCCAAGAGCATAAAAAAAAAGCCCAGAGATGATAAGAGCCTGGCCGGAGATGTGTGGTTCTCCATGGGTGAAGCAGAGTGCAGCATGGCCTGTTTGGGACTTACAAAAATTAATGACCTGTGGTCCTGGTACTCAATA